CCCTTAAAAAAAAATCCAGAGTCCAAAGCAACAATCAGGTAGCTAGTGGACCCCATCAGAGAAGTTCATTGCAAAAAACAATGCAAAATAAGTTTAACATTTCTCAAATTTGGCAAAATATTTTTTTAATTTTAGAATATTTTGACTGCCTTAAAACAAGATTTTCCAATGGGACAAACACAATGATCTTGTTTTAAAAAGATAAAAGAAATGTCTTCCTTGGAATGAGAAAATGAAAGAATGTATTCAGAATAAATTAAAAACCACTCTATTCAAGCAATTATTACCTCATATTTGATCATTTTTTGCAGTGTTGCTCAAGGCACATACATATTCAGTCATCTTAAAGCTGCAGTAATTTGTTAAGTGACACATTTTCTCAATCCTAGTGGAAATAAGTGATAAACAGAGGCACACTTGAAAATAAAATATCCAGTTATGTTGACCATCTTTGCCTTAAATGCTACAGAATCACAAAAGTTATGAGCCCTGGTCCATAGATGAGTTGAATAATGTTAAATATATAAAATCCTCTGTCCCTGTGCTCAACCCACTACCACAGATTCAGCCGTCACAGAAGCCTTCTCTATATATAGCCTTATTTTTTTCTGCCATGTCTGCCTTGCCTCCAACTCCCTTACACTTCTATCACCCAGCTGCATATCCTTTTCACAGCTCTTTTTGAGTGACAGGGCGGAGAACAAAGTTAGTGCAATAAATACCAAGGAAGACACAGGGAGCAGAGTATACCTTTTTATGTTTGTGAAATAGAGTACGTTTTTTGTGTTGGGGGGGTTTTGGTATAAAATATATTAGCACAAGCGTGGCAACATGTGTGGACCTCCAACAGACTTTTGTGAGATTCTAAAAAAGATACATGCGAAGCCTTGTCAATCAGCAGGGACGAACAGTGGAGCCACGGCTGTCACAAGAGCTGGAGGTGCACACGACAGATGTCAGGAGCCGATGACGAGAGAAAGGTGTAATATTGTGAAGGCTGCACGTTATACTCTAGCAAATTTACCGATACAATGTATATGCACGTGCAATGTTCATTCCCAACATAACCATACATCATAAAGTATACACAAGCTTCTAGTGTTTGTCCATAAACTTGAAGGTAAAGGGTTTTCTTACAGGGAGCTAAGCATCTAACAAGTTCTAGGGTTGGAGACAGAGGGTCCATACTCCCAAAAAACTGAAATTATGACGATTTATTAGGTTAAGGTACATTTTATTTACCTCTGTATAGGGTGATTTGTCCTCTGCATTCACCCATCCTTCTATGCCACTAGGGCCTCTCTCAGGTGCAGTGGTTGCCGTACAGTACCCAGAGACCCATCACCAGATGTTGTTGCTCGGCTTGGTCTTTTCCTGTTTTTAGAGGTAGGGGAAACTGGAACAACCGGAGGAAACCTAAGCAGACACCAGTGAGAACATCCAAACTACACTCAAAAAGACTATTCCGGCCAGGATTCAAACCCAGGACCTTTTTGCTGAGAAGCGAGAGTGTGAGCCACCGCCAACACGCTGCTACTTACATGTATTACTTAAAAAATCAATGCAGACTAACTAAGTTTACAAAACACTGATGGGTTTGACCTTAAGTAAAAAGGCTTGGTCACCACTGTTTTAAATTAAGAATGTGGAACAGGAGTTAGATCGGAGGTGCCGTGTGAATATGCTCCACTAATGCAGCGTCAGACTGTGACATGTGGGACTAATGTGTGGTACTAGCACCAAAACCAGAATAAATCATTAGTCTAGAATCCTATGAATTAGTCCAGTCTGGTTTGGTTCTGGTTGTGTCACTCCTTCTGACATCGTCTAGAGTTTGTCTTGTTTTTGCCTCTAACATGTTTATTTCTCTGCTCCTCATGAGAGCAGAGGCCCGCAGTGTTGGTCACAGTGTCCCGCCGTGTGATGTGGCGATAACTGTGAGGAAGCGCCGTCTTTGATCCTTAATGGGGCCATGTCGGCTTTGTGGAAATGACATTCATGCCTCGTATTTACACAAGCACAATTATGGAGGTTATTTTGGTGGTAGACAATCAATTAGAGTGAAACTATGTCAGGCTAATAACAGATTAAAGGGCTTTGGCCAGACCAGTTTGTGTGTAAATGAAAAGTAGATGACACAGCGGCCCTTTCACAGCAGAGATGAGATTCTGCCAAGTAGGCCACAGGTCATAGAGATTTAGTTGGATTTACAAACAAGTGCATGTGTGTAATATTTATTTAGATAGTGCATTTCACAAAGCCAAAGCACTTTACAATTGTTGAGAGGTCAGATATTTTTCCCATTCTCTCCACACAGAATGACTGACGGGAGATGCCGAATACACTGGCGAATCAAAGCCCCCAACTAACACCATTCAGACCTATGTTTTTATTGGTAGGGGAAACCGGAGCACCTGGAGGAAACCTACAAACGGAAAAGCCTGGAGGTGGAATTGAACCCAGGGCCTTCTTGCTGTGAAACAAGCTTTAATCGCTGTGCCACTGTGTATGTACAGTAGGTATGTTAAGATCCCTCAACAATTTTAAAGAAATTGAACTGCTTAAGATTCTTCACAGATCTTAAGTAAACCCTAGCGATCAGAGGTGGGAGTAAAATCCTCCAGCTCCGGTAGTCCTGACCAAGACGAGCATCAACATGAATATTGTTCATAAAATGCACCTTTATCTATTTTACTGACTTTGAAGAAACTAAAATGTGTAAAAAGTCTAAACTATGGTGATAATAATGGAAGTAGTCAACCATTTTTTATTTTACGTCATTATAATTCATATTATACTGTATGTTAGTGCTTTGATGGGAGACCTCAGTGTCGCTGTGTCCTTCGGCACTTCACCCACTTTGTCTAGAATGAGTCTGGTGTGTGTGTGTGAACGGTTGGTGGTGGTCAGAGGGGCCGATGGCACATACTGGTTGCCTCGCCTCTGTCAGTGTGCCCCAGGGCAGCTGTGGCTACACGAGTAGTTAAGTCACCACTGTGTATGGAGTGAAAGAATAATGATACATGAAGCATCTTTGAGGGTCCAAAACAGCTCTATATAAAACCAATGCATTCTTATAATTATAATATACTGCATAAAAGTTAAAAGTATGAGGTAATGTTTGCTTGAATCAATCGGTTTTCAGTCTTAATTTGAGTACATTCTGACTGTCTTAAAATAAGATTTGCCAATGGGACAAAGGCATTTAATCTTATTTCAAAAACTGTTGCTTTATTTTCTTATTCCAAGGGAGACATTTCTTTTATCTTTTTTAAAACAGGATCAAAATGCGCTCAGATTAAGATAGTTTTCCAAATTTGAGCAATTTTTGACTTATTTTTCATCGCTATTCGCAGTGTCGTCTTTGAATAGTGCTGAAAAATTGCAGCTCAAGTCATGCAAAGGACACAATTATAAAACCGTTTTAAAGCCGTAGAATCCGCTAAACTATTCACAATAACAATCATTTACACAACTTTATAGATACATGAATGAATGAATCCACAGATATGCTGCTGCAACAGTCCGCTGTGTCCAGAACAAACAGCTCCTACGAAGGCTCCGAGCTCAAAGCCCGAATTCCAGTTACTCAGATGTCACACTGACACTCCTCTCCTCTTCTGCTTCTTCTCATTCCCTGTGTTTCCGCAGCAGAACCCACACATCAAATAAATACAAAGACAGATAGAGTTGCGTTTGGAGACGTCGGAACAGGTCACGGACAATAGAACGTGGACGCGCGTGTCAAAGCAAGCAATAGTCCAAGCACAAAAAAAACTGCACAAGTCTTTGAAATGTTATTCGGAGTGGGAAAGAAATGACTCCGCCAAAAGTATATAATTGTTTTCTCTTAAATCCATCAGTATTCAAGTATCTAACCCTAAGCATTCCTCGCATACAAGAGCTGAAGGATCATTAAATCGTGAGTTTCGCCAAATGTTGCTTGTGTCGGGAAACCGCTGCACTTTGGAGATATCAGAACTTTTGCAGCGGTCATTTATCCGCTTTTTCAGCTCTTGGGACGCTTCGGTTTTGGGTTCTAAGTGGTCAAAAAACTCAAAGCCAAGGGTCCAAGATATGTAGCATTTGGCAAAAGTTGAAAACAATGAGCTTTATCGAACCCAGCCACAAACCGTGTGTTTTTCACAAAGGGGCTTGGAATAAACTGGCGGTGTTTAACAGCGACAGGGGAGATGGTTGATTCAAGGTCTTTGACTTTTCTGCAGAACAAAGCTAATCTCCTGACCGCATGCATGTTGCGGTCAGGAGAAAACATTGGCAACAGCGTGACTTCCTCTAATTGATGGTTTAAGCTTTTTGAAGATGAAAAACATGGCAACAAAAATGATGCAAAGTGGTTTATTTAATGAGGGCAAAAAAAAAAAAAGGAAATCAAAGCAAACTTTAGGACAGTTTACAATGTTCCAGAGGCTGAACAGAAACGATGTGCAGTTAATAAATACATGAAGCAATAAAAAAACAATACACATGGAGGTAAAATGGCGAATGGGAAGAGCTGGAGTCAGAACTGCTCACTTTTGGAAAGGTCCTTCATATGTGCGTTGATATGGTGGGATGGCTCTGATGTTACCTGAGAAAAATAATAACAAAAATGGTTGGATATAATATTGTATGACATTGTAAATTAATCAAACAACAAACACTATAGACTCAATATACAGACAGGCTTCTTCTGTCTCTTCTAAAATCTAGGATAAAAACATGTTTAGCTGTGCATACAACTGAGCGATCTTAACTCTTTTTAATGTACTCTGATTATTTAAGTCTCTATCTTGTTTTGTTCAGCACGTTGAGTTGCCTTGTGTATGAATTGTGCAATACAAATAAACATGCCTTGTTGTTCACAAGCTGAGCCACATTTTTGGACTTCATTAGCCAGACAAAGAAGCAAAATGAAGTTGCAAATGTGGGGTTTTCTTAGTTTTGCTATAATGTGGTCCTCAGGCAGCAGCAACAACATCAACATATGCACACATGTTTCAGCAGAGTCCAAACAATGAGGCTGACCTCCTGCTGCAAGAGGCATCCAGGTCTTCCTGCAGCAGAGTCGCTCTCTTCTGAAGGAAATTAACCTGCAACACAGAACCCACAGAAGAGCATCAAAGGAAAGCCCAACGCTCCAACGCTCCCTCCCTGGGTCATTACAACGAGATTAAGAAAAGAGCAATAGCAAAGAAGCACGATCAGCCAAGGATAGAAAGGATAGCGGGAAGACTTGAGGTAGAGGAGGTAGAGGAGGCAGGGGAGCGGACGAGGTCAGTCGGAGAGAGCGGAGGAGAAGAATTGGCTGCTTGTTGAGAGCAGAGGTCATGACAGCAGAGGCCTGGGGTCAGCACTGCAGGGCATTAGGGTTAGGGCACTAGGGGACTGAGGGCACATTATGAGGTGGGTTAACAGAGGTTACTGCTATACAAGACCACTCCCATTGTTCGGCTACAAAGTGCAAGTTTATTTATGAAGCGTCTTTGGTCTGTGCGAAAATAAACCTGCTCTGAATCTACATCCACGGACTGGCAGAATAATCGCCGCTCCGAAAAGAATCCACATTGTTCTGGGACGAGCGCACACCACTGCACAGGGTACATTCCTTCCAGAGGGGGAGACCTCAGGAACAGTCTAGCATTTCATTTGGCACCTCACGCTGGTAAAGTACACACAGAGAGCCAGTGAAATGTGCTCACATGGCTCTTAAGATATGAAGATAACCCTATACATTTCTTCAAAAATATACTTCATGCCCATGGCCTGCATTTTGACAAAGATTATTTTGTATGGGATCCAAGTCTGTGTACAGGTCTATACTAAAGGCATGTTAGAGCAGTATTTTACACGTCCGTCATATGAGTACAATGGGGAGCGACAAACAACTTCTTAAAAATAACCCGCACACAGGCCGCCCTGCTAGTAACTCATTAAGTCTTGACATTTTACTTGTTTGTGAGTTATCATGGATCAGCCACAAATCCTGGAACATAGATTTCAGTTCACAGGCCTCTGACAGCAGGTCTGCGATTGCCCTACTCCTCTCTCCACTCAGACCAGACAGCTGCGATATGGCACTGTTTTAGCTTTGTTTGAGAGTAAAGACTTTAAAAAGCAAAAACGTAATTATTTATGTGCGTGGAGTATGTGGGCAGTGGCAGCATGTGACTCACGAATACTATGAAAACATGAACACAGAGATATCTATATAAAATTGTCTGGTCCAGGACTGAACCAGGTCTGAACAGAACTAAACCACAACTCAATGAGGACATGGACTTTATCTTGAATCAGATAGACCAGCAATCTACAGCCTTCTAATAGTAAGCTATACATGCTTTGTATATTATATTGTATTATTGTATCATATTTTATTATTGCATGGCACGATACATGCCAATTTGTTGGTGGGTCATCACTACATTAGTGCATTGTGTTATGTAAATATTCTTGTTGACGTTGTTTAAAAGGGAACCCGTCATTGCCATCTCAAACGTACCTGTGACTTCAGGGAGGTGATCGTGTCCTCGAGTTCTTGTCTGAGATTGGACGGCATTAAGCCTTTGATTTTCTCCTCGTACTCCTGGCGCACTCCTGTTACCTGAAAAACAACAAGAAAGAGTATGTAACAGGGACAAGTGCAGAAGAAGGTTAAGTCTGAAGAATGCTGCACTAACCAGACAGTTGCAAACATGACTTATAGACATGTGCTGTGGTAAATGAACATGTCTATGAGCAGCCAGACAGAGGGTATCCCCGGCTCTTTATTCACAGCCCCCAGGATTCCCTCACTCTTCACAGCCTCTTCACATCTCCACAGGGGGTCCACAGGCTGGCACAGTGCTCTGACTCAGCAGTGCTCCCCCTACTGGCTGCGCGCTGCCAAAGACATGTCTGACACAATGCACTGTGCAGTGTTTGTCACAGCTGCCTTTGGAAGACCGCAGGGCCTCCATGGAGGCCACAACACTTCAAACAAGGCAGCAGCTCATAAGCTAGAAGTGCTAGCTCCACTTGGGAGGACCAAGAGGAAGTCTGTCTGGGGCTAAATTACACTGCACTAAAACCCAAGTCTGATTATAGAACTTGAAAAGGGTTTTGGTTAGCACAACCCCCTTTTTAGCCACAGACACACATGGTTGGGCACACTGAGGTACTTGTAAGCAAGAATTTACATCATTTTGAAGAAATAACTTGAAGGGGACAGTCCCATATTTGGGAGAGTGGGAACAATTATTGCATATAAATCATTCATATAATGTTATATACATCACATATTTATATTTATGTCAACACCAAAGTCCCCCGTTAAGAAACTCACTAACTAAATACATGACATATATTCATACTACAATCAAAGAACTACAGCATCATTACTTGAAACAGTGGAAAAATAAGAAGACCAAGTGTAAAAGAAACATAGTATCAGAAATTTGCCAAACTGTAACAACAAAATTACTGAAAACTATGTGCCAACAGAATTGAAGATTGCATAGATGGCGATATGACAAGTCCCTATAGTCAGACATGGGGCACATGGAGGTGTAACCAGGGGAGAGCGGAGGCATCTGAAGCCCCATAGTGTGTTTGACAGAGAGGGCAACAGTTGTCCAGTGAACGTTCCAAATCTCCACCTCTTCATCAGTTCAGCCTTTGAAGCACGACTGAAGTGAGGGGAAGGGGGTTAAGACTGGTTTTCCTAAAATAATTTTCCTGTTGTGGATTTAACTGATTGTTCTGGCTTTAGCTAATTAATCTTCCTGGGCACAATGAAAGGGGATTGGGAAGCACTTCAAAGCAAGCCCCAGTATAAACCATCCCAACATGGAGCAGCTCACTTTGTCTCTGCTGAAGACTCGCCAGCCACAACTTTTGTGCCATTTTTTTTTCCAGACTCTTGCCAATGTTTGGACACAAACTCAAGAATTCATGTCCTTTATAGTTTGCGTGTAAAGGTTAGGACCAATTTCAGAGTAGTGCTTTCAAACAAGTGGCAAAAACATTGTTGAATAAGCTTTAATTTCATAGTCCAGAGGTTAGAAACTGGACCAATTTTCAAAAGGTCTATCTATAGCATCTTCTGTAGTCATAACAAGATGGCAGGCCAAGACAAAACACACTCAGCTAACTCAGACCAAAGCAATAAACAATGGTTGAATAAACACATCCCTTACCAACCACTTTGAACACAAGTCTTGATTCTTCAAAAGACTAGATCCTTAGCTTTGCATTCTTGGTTCCTGTATGGTGCAGTCGCCACGGCAATGAGAGATTCACTGGGGCCTAAATTACAAGCTTTGCAGCGATGCTGCCTCCATTTTCCTCCCATACATTAGGGCCAAATCACCAAGAGGCAGAGCAGCCGAGAACAGTGGAGAACGCACATGGAGCTTTTGAGCAGATCCACAGAACATCTGACTTGCATCCTTTACTTATGGCTTTTGTTTCTATTCAGTTCAGCACAGCCACCATCACTCTCAAGAGGAGAACTCAGAAATATATGAAGCCAAAAACCCTTCAACTATACACAAAGACGGGGGCAGTTCCAGTGCAGCAAAACCTGATTTTCTGGAAGTGGAAATTTGCCAGCAATATTTTCATGCTCATGTAAACATTCACATCATATTGAGGAATATTATTGTCAAAGGAACACAATTGTAACTGAAAATGAAGAGACTCTGCAAGAAACCAAGCATCAGGTTTGAGGAGCAACAAGCGCACTCACTTTAGGGACGCATGTTTTTGTACTTTATCAGCTCCATAAAAACATCAGTGAAAAAAGGCTAAAATATATAAACATATTAGTTTTGTAACGGGACCTTAAATTATGCGACAGTCCGAAGTGGAATTTTGTTTTAATTACACTGGGTAACAAAAAAATATTTTTTGAAAATAGTCCAGGGTTTTCCAGCTGAATTAGACTAATTTTGATGCTCTGAGTCCGAAAATGACCTTGGTTTTGCTCAATCAGGTCAGGATTTTTTGCTACAGATTTTTTTTTTTTATTGATATTGCGTAAAAAATTAATTTCTGTGGATCATCAGCGGAGACACCCTTGAAGTTTTTTACGTTTTCCTCAAGAAATAAAAGTCAACGTATCCAAAGTCATTCAGTTTGTATTTACTCCATCAAATTTGATAAGCAGAATTCATAATAACGTAGACGTACGTAATCCGTAACACTATGGCTGTATCTCAAAAAGTTGACCTGATAGAGCAAAATGCATGTGATATTCGGACTCAGAACACCAACATTTGTCTAAATCAGTTGAGAAACCCCTGACCATTTTTTGGCTGTCAACTTGTGTTATTTGTCGTATTACTGTAGCCAAAACACACACAATATTTCATTTTATAGCAAGTGTTTGTTGATTGTGGCTTCACAGAGGTTTCCTTCGTCCAGTTTTCCCCATAACTTGTTGCGTTATGTTGCATAAACTAAAAAAGAATCCCTCTGCCCTTATCGGAGGCAGAAGTAACGAAGCAGCGAGATATTGAACCCACTGAAATATGGAATATTGTCAAAGCACCAATAACAACCATCAATAAATCTACACGACGCTACAACACAACAGCAAAAGAATCTTAGGAAAGTCCTAGTACCTGTGCTCCCAGATAAAGTGAAGTTAAACAAAAGATAAGTTTTTGTTTATGTTTGTTAGAGTCACTAAACATTTGCCATCAGGCCCGTCCTAAGGGCTGTGCGACCTGTGCCATCGCACAGGGCCTCGCACCACACAGGGGCCTCGCAATCTTCCTTCCTTTTATTTTATTTTATAAATACACTAGTTCAAGGGTCCCCAAAGGGCAGACTGCACTCCAAATTTGGAACCCTAAACCCCTTTCTCTGGACCTCTTTGATTTCGTTTGATCAAAAGAACATTTTTACAAGTAAAGTCAAATTTTCACCAAAAGCGATTTGTAAACAGGCAGGCGCGCGGGCAGCTATGTATGCAACGGGTCCTCCGAAAAAACTGTCAGATAACTTTAGCAGTGTCTGAGTGAGATACAAAGAAAGTAACGGGAATGATCGCAGTGTAGGAGAGATGGATACTCGCGGAGGAGGAGCAGTGAGACAGGTGTGAGCAGAGGAGCAGACCCCTTTGTGTGAGCAGAGGAGGAGGAGGAGGATCAGCGGTGTGACAGGTGTGTGAGCGCTGCTATTGCCAATGTTTAGTCCGAATATCCACATCAAAAACATATCATATTTTTAAAAGCATTAGCAAACACACTGTATGTCTAGCTTTAGCTAGCTGGAGTGTTTTTGTTGTGGTCAGAGTGTGTGGAGGAGGAGGTGAAGAGTATTTTGTTGTTGTCAGTGTGGAGGAGGAGGAGTGTGAGTGTGTGGAGGCATGGCAAAAACGTTATTTGATGAGAAAAAAATAATATTGACTCCGCCTCATAGCCATTTTGGCGCATTTTGCCAAAATCTAACTATTAGAAGAAAAAGACTCCTTTTGGTTCAATCTTTTGAGTTGCTCTACCATTTTGCCACAGGACGAAAGAGACATGTCAGCTAAAAAGACCGCGACCAATATTGCACGTAGAGTGTGTGTGCGTGTGTACGTGCGCGCGCCAAACGCTGCATAGGAGCGAAGACACTCGGTTACACGCGTGCTGATCTCGTCAAGCACCGCGCGAGGTGGTGCTGAATTCATGTCAAAGATTATAACAGGAAAAACTTTCCTCAGATCTGGGAAAAAAGTGTCAGGGCAGGGCCTCGCGTTTCGAGTTCGCACAGGGCCTCGCACCCTCCTTGGGACGGGCCTGTTTGCCATCACATAACTGAGTATACAATAGAATGTGTGTGGGAGGAAGCAGCATTTTTTCTGAAGTCAAAACATATGTAAGACTAACAAACAAGAAAATGGTGATTCTGTCTTAGAATTCAGCCCTCAAAGCTCTAAAAGACGTCTGCAGCCTCTTCCATTACATCTTCACAACACATATAGACATTTTCTCGTCTTTTCGCAGCTTGTTGACCAAAGATGTGTTATTTTCTGGCAGGTGCCAACATGAAAACACCTTGCTCCCACCGTTAAGGCAGGTGCGTTTTAGAAGTTCAACACTGATCAAAACAGCTCTGGGCTTTTGGTCATTGACGGACTTCAAACGAGAACGAGTGGGAGGGAAAATAATAACACAAGTGCGAGAAATCGTGCCAGGATTTTTTCCACAGAAAGGACTTTGACTTTGAGAGGGAAATCAGGCTTCATCTGCACATCTTGCTTTTAAATACAGCTTTGTTCCTGATGACTTTCTGTGCAGGTTTGAAGACAGGGAGAAGCGGCAGTCGTTTTTCTCCCTCACAGACATCTTAAAATGACAACGTTTCATCTATATATAGTCTTTAGATTGTGGTTGTGACTTCCCTGTGCGTTTGGTACTGTCACATGGCTGCTGTTTTTGACAGCTGCCAGCAGAAAAAGGAACAAGCCCCGAACAGGTTTGTCACGACGTTGGGAAGCTTGATGTATGCTAATGAAGCCAGTGAGTGCGCGTCCATGTGTGTGTGTGTGTGTGTGTGTGTGTGTGTGTGTATGTGTGTGTGTGGGGTAAAACCTAGCTGGAGAGACATTTTTGATTTACCCCCTTGTTCCACTGTGTCAAGAACAAGGGGCACATGAAAGATGATGCCACTCACAAAGTTTGCACCTCCGCATGCTTCGGAGTTCACCGAGGAGCGATTTGAATTCAAAAACGCTTCGCTGCAAGATGGGGGAAAAGAAAAGTGTTTCATGAAATTGAGAAGAAAAAAAAAAGGGAGGAGATTACAAATGGCTACAGATCTGAGTGAAGTTGTTAGAAGTGCTGCTGATGTAATGTGCATAAAGAAAAGACGGCTCTACAACATCTCAAAATCTTCTCCTACTCATACACGGAAAGAACCATATAACGTTTACACTATAGCTTCTACCATGTGTGCTTTCAATACAGAACTGTTGTGAGGATTTTCTCCATTTTTTTTTCTTTTTTACAAACTTTTTCAGTGAGGGAAAACCATTAGTGGTGTGTATATACTACTATATACTCTGGCTTCTATAAGACAATAGAAGCCAGAGCGAGTAGGAGCTAAACTTTTTCCACAAGCATCATTGAGCGAGTGGGTTAGCATTGTCCATCTATATACAGATGAGTTGGACTGACAGTGATTCAAACAGACCCTGGTGGTGTGACATTGTCAAAGGGTCAACTCCAGTTCAGTGGATGATCTTCTACATGTGTAAACCCGCAGACCTGTAAATGAAAACCACTCTGCTTTGCCTGAACCACTCTTCTGTTTGTGCCTCTGGACTGTAATTCTGCTCCACATTACAGATCAGACAAATGGGTAAGCTGATGCCAAATGCTAGCTCCTACAAAACTCCTAACACGTGACTTTCAAGCACTTCATTGACGAAGTAACACCCTAATTAAAATACCTTTAAACAATGAACGATATATAGAACGTAGAGAAATATGTGAATTTAAACCTGTTCTGTGTTGATACATTCTCCATTATTTGTATTTTGACTTTTTGAAACATGATTTATTAAGTACTTAAAGCTGGGATACAAACCTTTCAAACCGCAATTTTTTTTAACTATGTAATATAATTCATCTGACCAGTCCCTCACTCTCAAAACAGTTTGGTTCTATCACAACTATTCACATGTATTTCTGGCCTCTGTCACATCTTTAGATCAGATTTTTTTGACTGAGAAGTAACAAAGAGAGAACCCACTCAATCAGCTCTTAGCCAGGTCACTGTCTTTAAAGTATGCAAAAGATACAAAGTTTCCTTAAAAATGCTTCTCTTTCCATTATAACATTATAATCTTCTTGTCTTATTTAGGAAAAAAATAAAGCACCAATCAGTCGTTGAAATCACTAAATTGAACAATAACAATCGAATTCAAATTCAGTACCACGTGGTACCAGTCTGAGCAGTGGAGACATCGGTACAGCTGTTTTCTCCGAGGAGGGAGGCTTATTGATGTGATTATGTGTTGCGTTGTTTTGTGTTTTATGGGATGTGCCCGTTTTATCCTGGACCATGTCTGTAATAAAGTTTGATGCTGATTTTGATAAAATAGTCTGCAGTCATTCCTCAGGAAAAGGATGGTGATCACATATATTTATGATTGTTACAGCTGTAAATCTTGTGCAGTAAACAAAAGAAGATCAGAGGTAACTTAAGCCCTTGTGAAGTGACATCACAGCCATGAGGCCTGTGCGAGTGGAGCCAGGAGGAGCAGCATGTAGCGCCTTTGCGACTGGCTTTGGGACCGAGTGCTCCTAAACGCGGTGACCCTTCTGTGCAGATTTACGGCCCTGAGACAGTGAGCTGTGGCTCCATGTGTGAAGTGTGTCAGGGGTCAGAGGGAGGATCACAGAGGGAAGTGCCGACATGAATGCCTTTGGTGTTCATACCAGCCTGCCTCCTGTGACCACAATCATTATTAGAGCTTTCTTCTCCGTGTGTGTCAAGGTCAAACAGAAATGATTACAGGGCTCACCCCCTCTGCACACAGCCAGTGGCGGACGCTGCTCCTGAGGCTGAAATCTAAAGGAATTCTGCAAATGTGTGATGGCCATATTGTTTTCAGCTGCGGGATGAGCTGAACTGCTTACTATGGCCCCCTGGAGGGGCTGGTCAGGATGGCAGTGCACCCTTAACATCTAATAGTTATAATAAACAGTTTCTTAGTTATTTTGAGATATTCAGAAATTCAGTTGTGATCGAGTGGATTTTTGGTCAGATTCCCCCCTTATGTCACACCTTGAGTGAGCAAAGTTTGATTCAACAGTATAGAAACTTTTATATTATTGTAATATTGTTCAATGGACAAAGGGCAAACCAAATCCAAATCAGAAAACATATTGGAGTTGCATGAGTGTTGTTTAAACACAAGCATTAACTTTTTTACTTTATTCAGAACGTGATTCTACAATAGCACAACAGTATATGCAAAATGTGATTTGCGTGAGATACTGTATGGAAAAGAACTAAGATAAGAGAAGAGATCCTTTACTCATCCCATAGTAGAAAAAAAATCCTACCTCATCGACTTACTTAATCTCGTCTTTCACTTGACCATTAAATGACTATGATAACTTTATAGAGTTTGTACCTTCTCTTCCATCTCCAGCTCCTTGCTCAGCAGTTTCTTCTCAGAGCTGTGGAGCTGCGTCTGTAGATTCTCCACCTTCTCCTGCAGAGCCTGTGGAGAGGAGGACACAAAACATCAGCTTTAAAAGATTATATATTTAAAGAGAAAACATTGTGCATTTGAATGGAAACTAATGAACATTTGTGGACATTTGTCAACCCACTGGACCAATGTGTGTTTTTTTAAACACATTTCCTGTGCTCTAATTGTTTTATTTTCTAATCTGTTGTTGGTGAATTGACAATTTTGTTAGGGCTAGACAAAAGTTATGTAATGTACTGTAGTTATAATCTACGGCACATTTTGTTCATTGCAATTCTAAGAAAATGATGTACAATAAACTTGTGTGTTTATCTATTTATAAAATTCTATATTTTACAAAAGTAGACGTAAAGAAAAGTACAAACCCACCCAATTCTTAAAATAAAATAAAAAATTGTAAATCTGCTGTCACACAACGAGAACACAGGGATCAATTAAACAAGTCAAAATGTGTACAGTACAGAACAAATGATCTTGCTCAGATCCAGATGGTTGATCAAAAAATAAAGAATAAAAAACCTTTATGACTATCTCAAAGCAAATCATTTTTTTCCCCAATTCAAGACATAACATTTTTCATTTGGGCCAAAATGCCTCTAATCCACGTACAAAAACGGGGGTAAAGAAATTATCAAAGTCACAACGAGCATGTTTCTGACTTTGATATATGGGACAATGTAGTGGCCAACAGTAGAGAAACTACTGAAGCATCCATCCAAATATTACTTTGAGTTTATAAATGAACAACGGGGAAAACATGATCATAAGCTCCTAAAAGTACATTTTCCACACTTGAGAACAAATGTGGTTCGATGTAAATAAATGACACACATGGATTAGTAGTATAACCAGCCCTGATGTATTTTTTGACACCATACATTAAAGGTACTTTTGAACCAGAACAATCACACTAAACCCATTTCCTTTCCAAATCCAATCTGATTCCAAGAGGAAGCCAGATGGAAAAGACGCAACATCATTTCCCATACATTTCTCTGTTGTTTCCAGTAAACGATCACAGGAGGGAATAGAAAAGCATGGTTCCTGCCTGTGACAGAAGCAGATGTTTAGTGCACATATGGACACTTCATCTTTGAGACGCCCTGTAAGCAGCATGTACACGCGGCGGCTTTATGTTTGTGCGTGAGTGAGAGAGTGTGCTGAGGAGGATGAGTGAAGTGGCCAGGTGCAGTGGAGACTTGACAGTTTTTAGAGCTGGGGCGAACACAGACCAGGTGATGGGCATGACCACCGGATCTACAGCCCATTCCCAAGACATAAATCACACTCCACGCTCTGAACATGCATCGGAAAACACCCGCGTCAGCCCAAAACCGGAAATGAGTAGTCAGGGATGACTTGTAGACAGAATCAACATAAGGATTACATATGTATAGTGTAGACGTATAACATTCAGGAATGCTACCCATCATGGCCATTCAATAAGATTAAAGATGCAGTTAGCGATGTTGTTAGCTTAGCCGTAGCACCAACTCGAAACCACTCCCCCCTCCCCTCGCCTCTCCATCAAACCAAACATCCAGCATTTTCTTTTCTTTGTCACAACCCAGGGAGAGTGGGTGGCAAATGTGAAATTGGCATTTTCTGTTCAGCCCTTTTAGGTTTTAGAAAATCCGATAACTGGTGCGCACACTCGCGAGCAGTGTTGCCAACTCCTCAGTAAGGAAAGTAGCTATTGGCTGTCCCAAAAGTCGCTAGAAGTCGCTAAATGACGTCATCGCCTAATTTGCATAATTTGCCATTTGCAAATAACTGTAACGGACGCTGTAGGAGAGAGGAATAAGGTCGTGGGAGAGACAAAAGTGAGTAAAAACACCCTAAATATGTTTAGAACTACAAATGTACAAAAATAATTTCAACATTAACAACATTTAATGATTTTAATGCTTTGTCTAGATCCACATTACACACATCAGTTTTGTCCTGTATTGTTAAATGTTATAACAGCAAATGTAATCAAAAGATTGTTATGTAGGGTGAAATTGCTAGCTCTACAACCAACCCTCCTCCTTTATCCGGGCTTGGGACCGGCAAAGTGACCCAAAAGACACACTCTGGCAGAGTTACTTAGGTTTATTTTTGTAAGTTTTTTTTTTTTTTCATAGTTTGGCATAACAAATGATTTAATGTGACCCACTACTGAGAGAAAACAGAGTCACGGACAGAGCTGCCGCGGATGGAGTGGGGGGTAGTGGGGGGTGGCGGTGGTAGGAGTGGCCGGGGAGCTTTGGATGTGTGGTGGTGATGGAGCTGAAGTTCAGTCTGCAGCAGCCTGAAAACTTCCTGTGCTTTTGAGTCTCCTCTCTCTCTCTCTGCTCCGCCCATAGACTGTAGCTGGGACTGCTGCGCAAGGCTACTGTGAGACTGGCCGCCTGTAAGTGCTTTGGGACGGGGGAGGGGCTCACGTTGAGGACAGCAGAACAATACGTGCTTCACGAGTCTCCAAAACACCAGATAAGTCGCCAATAACACCAGAAAAAGTCGCTAGATTTGTCGCTAGTCGCTTTTTTGAAAAAAAGTCGCTATAGGGGTCTGAAAAGTCGCTAAATCTAGCGACAAAGTCGCTAAGTTGGCAACACTGCTCGCGAGAAACAGGAAGAGGGTGAAGGGGGTAAACGCATCCCATTGGTTCGTTGGAGATGAACGAATCCCATTGCTTTATTTTTAATCGGTCCGCTCCGAAATATTTGTTATTAATTTTTGGAGACTATAGGCATCTGGTTAAATCAATTACTATTTGAAAACACATGATCACTTGACTACTTTCAGGGTTTAGGAACGTTTTCCCACAATATTTAAAAAACATACATACATCTGGAAAAAATCACTGACTGCATCTTTAAAGCTGGGGTATTCCACTTTCAAACCACAAAAAGAATAATAATAAGAATGTGTAATGCAATCCATCTAATGTGTTTCTTGTTCTCAAAACAGGTTTTATCCTTGCGCATCTCTGTACATTAAAGGATTTTTATTCAAATGTCAAGAGTGCCTCGGATTTTTCCTCTTCTCAGGTTATATCCTTAGTTTTCACAAGGACATGTTTTCTAATAAAGATAAAAACAGCATGTTGTCGTCTGATTTGCTAACAACGTTTCACTTTTACTAGACTCTTTCTGTTGGGACAAACATAATTATATCATATATGAAAAGAAATGTGGTACCTCAGCTTTAACTTTGTATTATTAGAAATGTGCATAAAGATTTCCAGGCGGAGGTTCTGCCACCTTCATGTCTCCAAGAAGATGCAATTGCTTTGCCAAAAATATTTCACAGTTCAAAACATTCTTTTCTCCATGGATATGTTGTTTTGCCAGGAATCACAAAAAAGGCACAAACTTGGTACCCTCCATGGAAACAACCAGGTGACAACAATAATATTTTTTGGCAATAAAAAACTCCCTGACATTGAATAAATGAAATACAGACACAGAGCAATATTTCTGACAAGCCCCGTAAACACCAAACCTAGTATACCGTTGGCAATTATCTGTATGATCAGATTATTACAAAATCTGGCGGGAGATTCCGGTCAATTTTATACAAACTTCTATTATTGTTTGCATAAACACTATTTCAGAAACAGTTATGGTTATAAGTTTTGAAGTATTGCAGAGTAAATGATAGAAAGTGGAATGGGGCACAACAACTGCATATAATATAATCTACAAAAAATATGAGTTGGAGATTAATAAGGCTAAAATACATTTTACCAAGTGGCTCAAGCCCACATCATGAACCACGATCTGCAATTCAGATTCTGACTGAAGCGATAAGTCAAGGATTCCAAACTGCTCTGAACTTTGGAAGACACACTGGCTCTCACAGTTTCTATGATAACAAGACCCCAAAATGGCAGCAGTATTGAGGTCAGTTTCAATTCGGCACCATTAAAAAGGCAGCCGCACACTGTTCATGCTCCTAATCTGGGTGTTTCACAGCCCACATCTCCATCCAGTGCAAACCCTTGCCTTCAGTTTCATCATGTTGTTTTATTTATTGGTTCAAATCAAAGGGCTTGACAACAGGAAAAAGGCATTTACAGAAACACTGTTGCCTGGTAGTTTGATGTGCATTGAAACCAGAGTGACGCACAACCTATTTGAGTTATTTTCACTGATTCAATAACAAATAACTCTTTGTGATTTTGGGTTCAAGAGAATGGCAAACCAAGGCTTTCTCAAAAACTAGTCTGTGCTTCCCAGCGTAGTGACACAGCACTTCGGGACAAGGTCTTCTGGGAAAAGAGACGTCAAAGGCCCCTCTCCTCTGACGTGTGCTTGTCTTTTATGTGGCTTTCCTTACGCGTCTTCAAAAACAACTGCAAGGCTCAAAATTCAACAGTTGTCCTTTATTAATACCGTAATTCTAGATGACTTTCTGCACATGAAAAAGAACAGGGTGACTCATAGGCTTTTGAAGAGAGAGTCACGGTTGATCAGCATTGGTTAAAGGGTCAATACCTACATTCATAAGCAGATTTAACTTCTTCACACTTCTAAAGGAATGGAAAAGATTGAGTAGCTATAGCTAATAAATGCCTTTTTTTTAATTCTTCCTTCACAGCTAAGTGTTCCTCTATTGGTGGAATCATTTGTCTCAACATAAAAAGGTGCGAGAATGAGGTTTTAATTTACCACATTAAATTCTTTTGTGAATCTGGAAACGTGTGATAATATCAGAGTTTTTCTATGACAGCAGGGACATGGTGGCTGTTGAGTAGTGCAGTGTTTTACAGTTTTATATTAAACAACAAAAACAGGGGCCATAGCAGGAGACAGATAGCATAGTGTCTGCAATAGCTCCCTTAAAAAGCGAAAAAGAGTCTGATTTCTCCCTGGAGATAGAATAGTGCTAAATCTGATTTAATCTCATGAATCAGTCGGCAGAAAACATGAGTTTATCTAAAGAAATGCGACGACCAACGCCCCGTAAAGACGGAGACGCTGCGAACAACCTGCAAAGCAATTCGCAAAAACGACCAGGCT